ACCGGGGTCCGATCTTACTGCCTAGAGACCAGGGGAAATTACTAGTCCACGGGGAAAAAAGCCCAGCCTTCATTAGGCCTGAACCCGGGACCTCCAGGCAGACACCATGCCTCAAGACCACTCAGCTCCCAAAAGAGGTTCCTTGTCTTATATAAGTATTAATCAACCCTCGGGATTTTATGTATCTTCTTCTTCTTCTTCGCGTTCACTGGCTGTAAACTCCGGTGGAAAGTTCTGGTTGTTCGTCAACTTCTGGACTGCAGTCCTGTTCCAGAACCTGAGTGTTGCGTGTGCATCAGTTTGACAGATCTGTATGCAGACCGTTGGTTCCTTGCCTCTCAGGCAGATGCACTCTGACTTCGAAGGAAGCTCCCAATTAGTCGACTCTTACGCCATGATTTTGGGTAGGCAGTGGGTCTATTCTTGTTTTTCCCATAGTAGGGCCCCGGAATTTTATGTATGACTAGCTGTACCCGGCCACGCGTTGCTGTGGCGAAATTTGACTACATGGAAAATAGAGAACATAGAAATGTGTCTTCGTTTCACGCTAGCGATGTACAGAGCAACAGCTAAACCACAGCTAATAAAACTGGTTACAAAAGTGGTTATTTGGTTATCACATGCTAAAGCTGTTTGTATTTTTATAGGAGACGGAAGTAAAGCTACAACTGTACTTGTAAATAACAAAGTAAGTCGTAAAAAATAGAAAAGCGGAGGTAGCGTTAGTAAAATATAAACAAATTAGGTAATGAGAACTTGAAAATCACGTGTAAAGCTCTTTAAATTCTCTTAAATTTAAGTCATTACCCCCCTCCCCTTTCCTCTTCCACCGACTACTGCTCTCTCCCTCTTCGAAGGATTTAAAAATCACTAACTGGCGATATTTTGTTGTTGCTGTAACTGACATTGACATCCCTGTCCATCTGGACTAAAATAAGGAGCAGGAATTGTAAAAGGTAGTGAATAGGGCTAGTGAAATATTTACCACATCATCCTTCAAGTACCAGTACAACTACTAAAATAATGTCACTGCTATCTGTGTTACCATCGGAGTAGACAGAGAGTCGTGAGCCAGAAGATTTGGTTCCGCATGGCTAGTGCTGTCGCCACAGACTGGTCAGGTTAGGATGTATAATTTTACTTGCCGACAGAAGAACGCCATAACCTTACCGGCGGTCTTCACATGAGAGCACTATGGTGTAACAGCCCAACCACAACTATTACTGCTGCTGCTACTTTAAGTGGGTAAAGCAGTTACTGTGACTTAAAGTTCTCTCAGTTAATAGTTTGCCCCCCCCCCCCCCCCTTTCCCCCAAATTCACCGACAACTCTTTCCCACATTGAAGTAGTTGGGAGGAAAAAAAACAACACTTGAAAAGCAAATGAACACACGAAAAAAACACCATAATTAGGAAATGAACGCCATTGTAAACAGCACAGCTTAAAATTCCAACACAGATGAAATAACCAAATCTAAATGAAAATAAATGAAAATCTATAAAATTTCAGCGTAACCATGCAATCGGAAAGTTTAACAATGCAATCATAAATATGCGAAATGGTAAAATTTAATTATCAAATGGTTTACCCATTTACTGTTTTTTTTTATATTAAGGCAACATGGCTAGTGCTGTCACCACGACAGAGCAGATGAGGATATTATTTTAGTCCGGGGTAAAAAAAAAAATTAACTACTGCGGATTCGAACCCAGGTTTACCGCACTTGAACCCAGTGTTCTAACCATTCGACCAAGCAGCCACTTAATCGGAACAACGAAAAGAGAACACAACTATTAGACATATGTGTCCCTACCACTGTGTCGCGATTAAAACACAATTCAAAACCGCAGGCAATTGTTTTCTCGTAGACAGATACTCCAGATATATTAATGAAATAGAAATCGCACGTGTCTAACATGATTAATGAAGTTAATGTCGCAGTCACTGTCTCCCCCGACGTCGAGATAGTCCTCGATGGCCCCCCCCCCCCCCCCCCCCCCCCCCCCAATCGAAGGTTGTTTGGAAAAAAAAACAGAAAATAGAAATCGTGTTTAATATGGTTATTGTGGCAAATATAGAGATAGTCTTGTTTGCTGTACCACGACCTACTCTATGTATTAGTATTAGAGAAGGCGTTGGCTGCACGTAACTCGCCGGCGAATGGTAAATACGGCGCATGCGCAATTACTAACGTGGCTATAATTAGAAATCACTAAAGTTATAAATATTAGTTGCGTATATTTTTGCATTAATTGTGGTCACCTATCTCTAACAGTGACAGGTTGAATTTCAAACCACGACGGTTCAAAATCCGGTATCACAACAAACATATCCTGAAAATTTCAGCCAAATCGGTTCAGTAGTTTCCGAGTCTATAGGGGTGAAACAAACACACAAACATTGATTTTTATATATATAGATGTTGAATGTAAGGCGTAGCAGTAGGAGAGGGGGAGGGGGCGGGCAGACAATTATCGCAAGCCTGGAGAGAGTGGTGCACTAGGGAGTGATCATGGGGTCTGGCTAAAATTTCCCGCTTCAGGGAAAGGCAAGAGGGACATACAGTCCCACTGCTAGTGGTATTATCGGAACTGGAACCGTCCTGGTTGTTGAAATGGGGGATGCAAGGCTACGATGTCGACTCACTTCAGATAAACAGTGTATTCCAATACCAAATTAGGTCATGCTGAGTTTTAAGATGAGGCGAATCGGTTAACATCCGACCCTGAACTGATCTCATATTATTTCGAAACCTACCTTAAAAAAAAAACTACGCACTTCTCTTTAATGCATACCTGCTTTTATCTTTGTTTCCGCATGATTTACTGTGACTTTTTCTAGCTGACACCTCGCGACGCGATCACATGTTCTCACAGGAGGTGCCACTCAGTACGTTTCCGCTCAACATCCGGTGTTAACAAGCACGTGATAATCGCGACCAATCGTCTTTATGCCCGCGAAAACGATCGTTGTAAAGTGCACTTCCTGTTGAATGGAAATCTTCGTCTGCCGACCTTTTCTCATTCGCTTGTAAATGTGTGCATAGAGATATCACAATAATCTCTGTCGCTGTAAACTCACGCACATGCGTTAGATAATTCTCTAGAAATTGTCTGAGGAAAACACAAAGAGAAAGAGAATTCGTCATATAACCCACAAATGCCTTTGCATAATAAATGAAGGCTGTTCTATTCACACTTTGAATTGTGTCTATCCATTCATGAAATTATAACTTCCTGTGAAGTTTGAAGGTTGAACAACGGACCAACATCATGGCACACGGGTAGTAACCCATAAGTGCTCCGTTCTTCTTCTAACTCAACCCTGAGTCCCAAAAGTCCTAGCGCAATGCCGAATTCTGTTGCAGAGGATCCTGAAATACTTTGAGTAGATTATCAACTCCAAGTTTTGCCTGAGCAGCTCCGTCAGGCAACTTTTTTTTTTTTAATTTTTAATTTTTTTAAATTTCCAACTGCCAAGTGAATTTTTTACGTGCTATATTAATACACTCAGGCGTCCGATCTCGCTACCCAGAGACCAGGGGAAATTACTAGAAGTCCAGAAAAACAGCACAATCTTCATCTAAGTAGTTCACCATTGTGCCCTTGTGGGCTGTGTGCACAGACTACAGAACATCTTCTGCAAGCATGTCCTTTGTTCAGCCCAAGGGAATACTTGACCACTGAGTCAACACTGTACTCAAAGTGGCATGGAACTAAAAGGGAAATGTGAAACTTCTAAAAACTTCTAGGGAACTCCTAAAAACTGTCAAATTTATTACAAGAACTTGTCTGTCAGTCTAAATCAGAAAGCGAACACATGAAGAAGAAAAACAAGCTCCTGGATACCTAGTTCAACCTTCTAATCATAAAGCACAGTTGTATTGGGGCACTATAAAATGGTTACGTCATGACCCGCAGTCCAGTGTGGGATGGTAGTGAATATTGTCGCTTTTCTTAAATACATCCGATTTAATGGTCATCAGTTTCCTTTGGCATTTGTTTTTAAAAATGCATTTTACTTTCGTTCTTTGTCTTCGTTATTTCTCCAGCTGTCTCTGACATAAGGAAAAACTAAAATAATATTAGAAGTGAAAATACGTAATTTGGTTTTAAAACAATATAATTTACATATTATCTATCTTGTTTGGTTCTTCTTTTACCGCTTTAGGGTCGAGGAAGATGTAAGATTCTGTTCCTTGATCTTTTGACCCTATCGACCATAGATACATGGTGCTGTTATAGAATTTCTCTGATGTTATCTTTCCATGTGTTCTTGGTCTACCTCGTGCTTTACGTTCTTCCCCTCTCCTAATGGATGCCTTATATGGTATGGCGTCACCAGAATTTCGCTTCGAGTACGTAAATTATTTGATCGGCATTCTTTGTATGTAATTTTCTCGCATGCTATATAAAGAACAGCTTTTAGAATACGGATGTGAATCTTCGACAGATAATAAATAAACCATACAATTTCCTGAGGTCTCGAAGATGTGGTTTTACAGAAGAATCCTTAGAATTCCTTGATATGTCCCATACTTGGTTTGCATTATTGAATCGGATGTTAAATTCTTCATCCAATTTACCATCTTCGGTGAATTTTGTTCACATATATTTAAACTCAGATGCCTACTTAATGCCTTTGTACACTACTGTCGGCGTCTGTGGCTTAGGCGTTGCGAACGCGGTTCGTAATACCAGGGTGCCGAATACGATCCCAGCTGCAGACGGTTTGTCTTGCGTTGGTTTCGTCAGTGGTATCGAGAGCTGGCCGTTCCGAAAGTAATGGCAAACTACTGAACGTAACATTTGCCTAGAAAATAAGCCACAACAGCCAAAAAACGCTTGGGTTGGTATTACAATGTTCTGTAAAGGACACGCAACTGACTAAGAGTTACTATACATAGATTCTATGTATAGTAACATGTATAGCATGATTCCATGCTCATTTTTTCTGTCTACATATTTATATATGCAATCATAATTAATAATATCTTTCAGCTTGACTTGAGCGAGCTACTGCTGGACTGGTACATGGAGGTGCGAGATGCCATTACCAGTTGCGACGACATCCACTCTGTGAAGTCAAAGAGGACACGCCTCTGCGTGACCAACCACACATTGTATAACCACAGCCTCGACTGCAGCCCCAAGTGGATCCTTTTCCTGTGCATCTGCTGGATTCTCTTTGTGCCATGCTACAGGGTGGGTTCAATGTTGTTGTTGTTGTTGTTGCTGGTGGTGTTAGTAGTGGTGGTGTGAAGGTGGTGGTTGTGGTATTAGTAGTGGTAGTCTTTGTTGCGATTTTCGACGATGTTGTTTATCCATAGACATATTTATGTGGCAGAATTAATAAGGACATCCAACAAAGATGCAATACAGCCAATCAAGTTATAGCACAGATGGCACAAATTTTGAAATGCAAGCATGTGAATATGAAATCTAAAAAAAGCACTGTTCAAAACAGTATTCTTACTAATGCTATGTTATCAGTGTCAGACATGGACAGTTTCTTGAAAAAGAAGACACAAGACAAATAGTCGCGATAGCAAAGAAATGTTACGTACTATGCTAAATGTAACGAGGAAAGACCGACTTAGGAACGATGACATCAGGAGGAGAGTCGGCACGGAAACAATGTTTAACTTGATCCGCAGAAAACAAATCAAAAGGTTTGGCCATGTAACAAGACTGGCATCAGAGAGGGCACCGCCGAAAGCAATGTTATACAGATACAGTCTGCCGATGGAGGTGCAGTTATATACACCGATGAATTCATCGTTCAGCATGTAGAGAGCTCATGGGCTTTTGCGGTTCTGGTTGGAGGGAGAACTGTAAAAGATAGCGGTTCTTTTTCAAATAGCCTGAATATGGCGGTGGTGGCAGTAACAAGAACACGGATGAAGCAAGATACAGAAATCTCCCCATGCGTGATTCCATGAGATGAAATGATTCCATGAGATGAAGTGATTCCATGAGATGAAATGATTCCATGAGATGAAATGATTCCATGAGATGAAATGATTCCATGAGATGAAATGATTCCATGAGATGAAGTGATTCCATGAGATGAAGTGATTCCATGAGATGAAATGATTCCATGAGATGAAATGATTCCATGAGATGAAATGATTCTATGAGATGAAATGATTCCATGAGATGAAATGATTCCATGAGATGAAATGATTCCATGAGATGAAATGATTCCATGAGATGAAATGATTCCATGAGATGAAATGATTCCATGAGATGAAGTGATTCCATGAGATGAAATGATTCCATGAGATGAAATGATTCCATGAGATGAAATGATTCCATGAGATGAAATGATTCCATGAGATGAAATGATTCCATGAGATGAAGTGATTCCATGAGATGAAATGATTCCATGAGATGAAATGATTCCATGAGATGAAGTGATTCCATGAGATGAAATGATTCCATGAGCATGCTTAAGAAAATCGAGACAGGATGAATTCGAAGAAAATGGTTTGAGTCGCTGGGGAAATCTCGTCTGTCAGAACCTTGTTTCGTTTTTCTTTAGCAAGGGCACTCTGGGGTAAGAGGCAATGAACGAGCGGACTGGCTTACTGGTAGGGACATTTTGGGTACGGGAAAAGCAATGGACCGGGTCGATATTCTCAGTGCTCTCAAAGACGCAGGACGAGTAGATAATTCAGGAGACGACGGTGAGTCGGCAACATTCAAAAGACTACAAGAACTTCAGGTAAAACGAGGCATCGGCAGTCAGCATCACACCGGCTGCCTTTACTTCCTAGGACTGCACCTGGTACCCACTCAAGGATGGGTCGACCTAGGGGTTAAGGTCATTTTTTAGGGGGAAAAGGAAACGTCGGGCTCTGTTGGGACCCGCTCGCGTGGGGATCGGAAGGTCGTGGGTTCGATCCCAGGTGCAGTCTCGGGAAGTAAAGGCGGCCGGCGTGATGCTGACCACATCACACATCTTGAGCCGATTGGTCTTTAAAAATTCAGGTCTAGCCCTATATGCCCTATACGCTTAAAGGCGTAGGACCTTTATTTTTTTTTTCTTTTTATGTCGGGGCCAAAATCCACAACCTTCCGAACCGCAGGCCAGCGTCTAGCAGCTGAACCACGGCGACTTCACTTCTTTATATGTACTTATACACATACACACACATATATACATACACACACACACATACACATACATACCACATTTTAAATCGGTAGAGACAATATGTGAGCTGTGATCTGCATGCAGACGCCACATACTGTGCAGGTCAGGATTTTCACTTTACGTCTCAGACAGAGATTTAAAAAAAATGATCATCTTACCAAGGATTTGAATGTTATTGAATGTTGAATTAAGAATCGACATCAAAGCACTCGGGACAGCCCTATAAGCGCTTCGTTCCCATCTTCAGCAGCAAGCGACGAGTTCCAATTCCGATGGTACCAGTAACCGATTGCATATTCATATCGCCATTTCCTTTCCTTTAGAAAGATATGAAACCCAACGAAAAGTAGATCAACGAGCTTCACAATATAACAAACACAAACGAAAAGTGAACGTTGCGGCCATAAGCACCTACATACATGAAACAAAACCACACGAATACATAAAAATCACTTTACTGACGCATCCCAAAGCAGCCAGGTTGATGTCTTGCCAGTGGAGGAAAGAACCATATGCCGCGGTCGCAAGACAAGGACTAGATTTTAAAAATTAAGGAGCACCTCAGCTGCGTTTCCTTAATCTGAGGAACATTCCCAAAATCTTCGTCTCCCGTCTGATGTGGAGTTCCAGTAAATATCTTTTACGCTATGCTGCAGAAGAAAAAGAACTTGCACACGGATTCCTTTAGGGAAATGCTTGGTAATGGGATTCAACCATCCTTCTCTGCTGATATAAATATCAGTATTGGCCTTGTGTCGGCTCTGTGGCAAAGTCGATGCGAAGCTTCGTAATGCCGGGTTCGATCCCAGCTGCGGGCCAAGTGCCTTGCGTTGGTGTCGACAGTGGTATCAAGAAAGCCGACCGTCTAAAAGAAATGGCAAACTACTAGACGTAAATTTGCCTAGATAAACCACACAACAGCCAGGCCTAGCTGTTGTGGTTGGTTCTGCAACGTCCTGTAAAGGATACGCAACGAACCTATTAGCCTTGTTTGCCCCGTTACTTCTTATCGTCAAGAGATGAATTCGTAATGCAGAAAATGAATGCCCAACAACTCAGTCCCCTTTGGGATACTATTTTGTTAGTACCGGATCTTCCCTGTGTGGGTTGCAGGGCCCAAATGTGGGGGGGGGGGGGGGGAGTATATACCCACTGCCTGCACAAAAGCATGTCGTAAGAGTCGACTAATTTGGAGCTTCTTTCAAAGTCGGAGTACATCTGCCTGACGGGCAAGGAAGCAACAGTATGCATGCAAATAAGTCAGACCTGTAAAACGGATTTACACGCAACTCTCAGGTTCTGGAACAGGACTAGAGTCCAGAAGTGGACGAGCAACCAGAACTTTTCGAAGCTTACAACCGGTGAACGCGAAGAAGAAGAAGTACCGGATCTAGGTCAGATATTACTGAGCTACTGTGACAGTAGTCAGTACTGTCTGGTCTTGGTTAACACCTAACGGTGGGTGACGTTTATCGAATCTGACATACCACAGTGTGCAGACGGCTTCGAGCTATGGCGCGCATTGGGTAGGATACTAGCCTTATCCAAGGAAAAGGAACTGCTACCTGGAAACGTAATGTTACAGCACGACGGACAGAACCCTTAGCCTTGGATGGTAGAGTTGGTCTAGGAAGGAAGCTCTCGCAGGTAGGAAGATTGAGCACTTCTTTTCTGATCCGGCAGCTTCTGCAGTATGCTTTGTTCAAAGCGTAGTGTTATTACCCCTACTTTGAAGTGAAAAGACAGGCCGAGAGAGAGAGAGAAAGAGAGAGAGAGAGAGAGAGAGAGAGAGAGAGTGAGTGAGTGAGAGAAAGAGAGAGAGAGAGAGAGAGAGAGAGAGAGAGAGAGAGTTAGCTAGTTGCGTATCCTTTACAAGACGTTGCAGAACCAACCCCAGCATTTCTTGTCTGTTGTGGTTTTTTTTAGGCAAGTTACGTCCAGTAGTTTGCCATTGTGTTATGGGCGGTCGGCTTCTAGATACCACCTTCGAAACCAAAGCAAGGTGCAATACCCGCAGCTGGGATCGAACCCCGCGCCCCGACATTAAGTAGCGCATTCGCAACGCCTAAGCCTCAGACTCCGACGAGAGAGAGAGAGAGAGGGGGGGGGGGGAGATAAAAATTATTTGTGTCTACAATACTCCACAAGCTTTATGCCATGGAGAAGAGGAACTTCACTCTTGACCTTAATTCGTTGCTATGGGCAGCGGTTTCCATACCACCCCACAGACCCCATAGCATCGTGTAAGCTAATCGCCTGGACAGACGGAAAAGGTCAGTAGCCGGTTCTACATCGATCTCACTCTAGACACAACAAAATCCCTTTCCTCAGCTCAGCAGCACTAAAAGCCAATACCAGGGCCTAAGTGTTCTTCTGCTTTCTCCCTGTATTCCCCAGTAGAGCGTAGGCACTCAACCAACTTACGCCAGGTCGTTAAATCTTCTTCTTCTTCTTTCGTTCGCATGAAATAAATTGTCTATATCTGCAAAGCCGACTCTTGTATGAATTTCACTGTCTTTTGTAATTCACTAAGCGGCCCGTAAAGTTTGACTTCCACAAGTGTCTCTTTTGGCCAAATGTTTTGCCTGAAAGCGTTAAATATGGGACAGTCTTGAAGGATGTGATCTGCTGATTCAGGTGCCAGTCCACAAGTACACATGGCCGATTGGCCAATCTTAAATTTGTTGTACATGTGGGAGCGAAGTCTATTGTGCCCTGTTCTAAGGCGAAGGATAATAACTTGCTCTGGTCTGTCCATAATATGGTAATCATCTTGTGCCAGTTTCGGTGGCATTCTGATTGATTTGATCATTCTCTTCTTCTGTTGATAAGAGACTGGTATGTCAGGTTGTTCTTCAGTTGCACCTTCCTTAGCTAGTTTATCAGCTTTTTCGTTTCCGGGAACTCCACAGTGGGAAGGTATCCACTGCATTACTAATTTACAGCGGTTGCCTAGTTCGGATAATAGTGTCCGTATGCTTGGTAATTTTCCAGACTGGAGTGACTGAAGTACTGCTTTTGCATCTGTCAGGAATACCACTGGTTG